TATACATGAATTTGATAAAAACTCATTTTTTTAAAAAATGTAAATCTGGGCTGTTTTAATTGGGGACACCCCATATATGAAATAATGTGTATGTAGTTAAAAAGGTAAAAAAAAAAAAAAAAAAAGCTGGGTTGAAGTCCATGGATACGTACGTACGAATGTACGTATGTACGCACGTACGTGCATTTGTAAAATAGTGAAACCACGGGGAACGTACTAACGTACTATTTTGATGTGGTTTGTACGGATTATTCAGTGCAACACCGTAGGAATTATTTGGCACTGCTATTCCCCAACTCTGCTCTATTATGAGGATTTGATCTCACTTTCCTGAAAACCTAAAACGGGCTAACTTGTCGGGAAAATAATATTGATAAGATCCGATTAGAATTTATATATCACGGTCATTCGAATTTTGATATGTCCATGATGTATTAGGATTATATAACACGGTTAAATAAACTTTATCAGAATTTTCGATAATCTGAATTTTTTCTAATTTAATAATGTACAACATAAATAAATCAGAGGTTTTGGATTAGGTTTTGGATTAGGTTTTGGATTAGGTTTTGGATTAGGTTTTGGATTAGGTTTCGGATTAGGTTTTGGATTATCGTATATGTACATTCTTGGTACCAGATGACTGGCAATTATAATTCAATTTTCGATTGGCAATCGATATATGAGTCATATACTGCCTTATTTGCAAGAAACCAAATTTTGCATATGATTCATTTTTTATTTTAGTGAAGGTTTTTCAAATTTTCTTAGTTTAGATATATAAATTCCCGTAAGTCGCAAAATAATCCGAAGCTTTAAGTGGGTTAAAATTTGATTGTTACAATATAAAGATTTTTAATAAATATTTTTAAGGAAACGAAAGAAATCTTCTTGCTTATTATATAAATATAAAAAAAGGTTATATAGTATAAATTATTATGATAATTCTTGATGAATGACGTAAGAGGACGGGATTATTATTATAAACATACTAATAAGTTTAGTATACTAATAAGTTTAGTTTTAGAAGCACAAAAAAACTGAAATAGCAATAAACTAATTTAGGATTTTTAATCTTTCGAACTTCTACGTATTCCGAAAGTTAAATCGATTTTGACCACTTAAAATGTTTAAAAATTTTATTTAGTTAACTATAATTGGAGCACAATGTATATGGAACAATTGTGTTTATTAAAATCGGAATGTCAATAACTTGACAGGATTGTGAGATCACGATAATTAAACAAAGTTTTGCAGTAATTTACCAAAATAGAAATTTACTCGTAAGTTGTTATAAATTATATCGGTATTTTATTCCGAAAGTCTCATAGTGAAGTCGGGTACCTTACCGTTACGTCAAGTGAAAATCCGACCTTCAGACCCAAATATTTGGATCTAGAATATTTTAGATATAAAATGAATCATTATGAATGATTATGTAAGTAAATTTCTATGAGGATGGATTTTCCTAGTCAATTACCCGTTTAGGATTTTTCACTTTGCGTTTGTTCGTAGTTCTCGAAATTTGGGTTGTTACACGAGAACTGGAATTCTAGACCAGAAAGTTTAGGTTCGGAGGTCGATTTTCATTTCTTAATCATTCTTAATCATTCTTAATCATTTCTTAATCATTTCTTAATTATGCCGTAACCACCCAAGCCAGCATTTAGCTAACATTCATGGTAACTTGACATTTTTGTTATCAGTGATTTATATTAGAGGCTTTAAATGATAGAAGTAAAATCTTGTTACGTAAAAGTAAATTCTATACAAAACTTATACAAGACTTGTTTAGAATTGTTTAGAATTGTTTAAAATTGTTTAGAAGAGATAAACTTTTTTTGATGTTCCACAAGAATTATATGATGGTTTGACCTCGGATTCTCGCATTCGTATCTATGTTATGAATAATTCATGACTGCATAAATCATCAGTAGCATTTGTGCCATAAAAGTTTCTAACAATTACAATAATGGTTAGTTACCGTTTATTCGGCGTTTCCTTGAATTCTAATTGGAAAATGATGTTATCATTATTTTAGAACGATAATCAATCTTATTATGGTAATTCCTCTTGAAGTAATTGTAACAATTTATGTGATATGATCGATTACAAAGAAAAATATAAATTATACTACATATAATAACATTGTTTAACGTAAATTTTGATGTTTAAAGATAGGACAAAAAACAAATTGCACTACTCTAAGAAACACTAAACACACAATTTTTATGAAAGAAAAAAAAATGGTTTCTTGCACAATAATATATAATTTTCTGAATTATATATTATTTCCTGAATTATATATAATTTCCTGAATTATATATTATTTTCTGAATTATATATTAGTTTCTGAATTATATATAATTTTCCGAATCTTGGGAATACAAATATACACAGTGCAGTATAATCACTATTGTTAAATTATCTTGTGCTAAACTGACGGTTCTTATAGTAAACAAACATTAAAAAATTCGGTATATATTGCATACCGAACTTGCAATAATTTGAGATTTACAGTTTAATATAGAGTAGGTTTTGCATATAAAGGTTCGGTATAAAGATAGTCGACCATACAAATGCAAGTGTATGTTGACGGTTTTACATGTGATTAATTCTTTTTATGTGATATATAGACACATTGATTCTCTGTACTTATGTGTGTATGTGAAGAGGAATTACTATAAATACTGCTTGAAAAAAAAGTTTTTTTTAAAAAAAACAAATTTATCAAGAAGAAAAAAAAAACGTAACAAAATGAATGCACCTGATCGCAATCAACTTGACATAATCACTCCTTCACAACCACTTTTTCCACCTCCAATTACTCAAGATCAATTAATAACTTATAAAACTCATGTTAAAAGGAAATATTCCAAATTACCAACGGCATTTATTATCTATAAGACAGCCTATCGTCAACGACTTATTGCCGACAATAACCTTCCACCTAAGCATTTATTCTCATCTATGGCAAGTCTTTCTTATGAAAGAGAACCTATACATGTTAAAACGGCATATGTGAATCTATCTTTACAATTACGATCTGACAGATAATTGGAACGCGTTCACTATGGACATGTACTTAAGTGTTGCATATATGGTATTAAGCTATATTGTTCTTAATATTAGATGCTTATATAGATAACATTTATCAATTTAAGATTTGTTTTATGTAGGTTAAGACTTTTTTTATGTCCCATCATTACGTATAAAAATGAAAAATGTTTATAAAAATGTTTTATGTCAAAAAAAAATAAAAAGAAACAAAAAAAACAGATTTAGATTATATATTGATACTTTTTATTGTTTATTTTTAAGATTAATTTTTCCGTTTTATTAAAATATGAAACATAGAAGGTTTTATTTGTTTGTCAGCTAAAGAGAACTTGCACTCAAAAAAAAAAAAAAAAAAAAAGGTTTTTAATAAAATTTCATCTTAACTATTTTGTATTAAAACATTAATAAATTATATGTATATACATATTCTTCTTTATCGTTAAATTCAACGGATTAGAAGCTATTTTAGGTGTTGTGTCTTATCTTTATGCATAATTTAATTACACATTGTGCAACTTAAGAGTCGGGACTTGTCCAGACCGTAATTGATCAACCATTTACACGAAACATGATATATCGATATATTAAAAACTTCAAGTACTATTATCAAATTTTTTTCCATTTTATGAGTTAAGAAGTTCAATATATTTACATTTGACAATTGATAGTTAAAAATGTATTCAGATCTTTCAATAAATTTATGTTTACATTTGACAGATAAAAAGAATTACGGAGTATCCCTTCTTAATTTCACAATTTTCATAAAATGGTTAATCAATATTAATAAAGATCTTTTCTATAAATATGCTATTATAGAGACTCTCCCATACCAAAAAAAACAAATTTGACTTTATTAATAAAGAGAGAAAGAAAAGAACTCGTTTAAACAAAATTAATTCTTTATAACACGGTGTAAATTATAAAATCTAAAAGTGTAAAGTCTAAAGGTGTAAAATCTAAAGGTGTAAAAACAAAATGTCTGATATCAATCAACCTGAAGTAATCGTTCCTTCACAACCACTTTTTCCACCTCCAATCACTCAAGATCAATTGGAAACCTATAATACTCGTATTAATGGAAAAGTTCCAAGATCACCGACGGCATTTATTATTTATAAAATAGCTTACCGCCAGCGACTTCTTGCCGACAATAACCTTCCACCAGCACATGTATTTTCACATATGGCAAGTATTTCTTATGAAAGAGAACCTAGGCATGTTAAAGCTGCTTATGTGAATTTATCTATTCTATTGCGTTCCGGAAGATAAGAACTAAGCGTGAGCACCTATTTTCAGCAGGTCATGTGACATTTGTTTCTGTATTTCATTTTAAACATTAATCATCATTGAAGAAAGATTATCCAAAGTGATAATTATTTTGATAACGTTTTATTGCTTAAGGCCTTTGGCTATTATTGTATAAATGACATAACATTTTAGCATTATTTTTCATGCATATAAACTTTTAAAATTTTTTTCATGTTGTATGTTAAGCTTTTTTATGGTAAAGATGGTAAAGTAACTAAGGTTAATTCATTATGTAAAATCATTTTACTAAGTTATTTTACTAATTTACAAAATCATTCATTTATCTATACGTGTATAGCGGGTGGTACATTTCTAATCAAAACAAAACTAAAAAAAAAAAAAACAAAAAACAAAAAAAAAAACAAAAATTTTTTAGATTATCTTTTGTTTCTATAAAGGACTATGTAACACATATTTTTCATAAATTTGAAATTGTATATTTTTTTTTTTTATGTAGTTTAAAAATTTTGCTTAAATAAACTGAATAATTGTTTTACGCTTCTAAATTCTTTTAATTTATGCACTATTCTTATTTTTACAATGAAAATAAAACAATAAAACTAATCTCATGACCATGTCACATGAACAATAATAAGTTATTTAGCATAAAAAAAAGTGCATGCGAAAGCCTGGAACATTAGCACATGTTAATTGATAAATAGAGCGCATATATTAAGACATGCATTGTATGACAAACAAACTTAAATACAAAATACAAGTTTAATAGAAATGTTTACAGCGAGTATTTGATTATAATAAGAATGATTCGGAAATGTAACCAGAAATCGGACCTAACTAGAATAAAAATTTAACTGGATTTAGTAAAGTTAAGTATTTCTGGCGTATTAAACGGCGAACTTTAAATATATATATATACACGAGTATAGTGCCAAAAGATCAACTTTACGCGTTTAATATGTCCGATTGGTCCGATGGGGTAATTGTCAATAAACGATCAGCAAAATAATCCATTTTTTTCGCGGTTATAATGATCGTATACGCATGCGTGGAATTCATCTACATAAGTTCGCTTTTACTCTAAGTCTAGACAGCTTTAGTCTCCTGTGTGTGACACCTAACCCTTATTACAGTTTTTCCCTTGCATATTTTATATCGTTATCAGTTATGATTATCTTATCATTCTTTATCACAACAATTTTAGCAAAACTACGTAATAAAATTATATAAAATTATATAAAATTATATAAAATTATATATTATTTCATCATAAAATACGTAATAAATTATATATTAAAATACGTAATAAATTATATATTATTTCACATACTGTATTACTCTTTAATTCTTTAATCAAAAATTCATCAAAAATTCATCGAAAAATAGTGCTTTACGAATCAACCAAGAAAAAAAAAATTTTAAATTATCAAATCTAATAAATATTTATCAATTTTAAATTTTATGACCCAAAGCGTTGGCATAATTAATTGTATTGTCGATTTCGGATTAATAAGATTTCATTTGAGTATCGTCAAAAGAAAACATACAAACATTTAAATATGGCCTAGATTTAAATGTGCATGTTTTTTTTTTCTTGACGACACTCATATAATCTTCTAGATTTGTCTAATATTCAAATGAAACAATTACTAAAAATTGATTGTTGAATACGTATTCTTTTTCATAACTTTCAGTTTATCAATAATCATTAATTTTACATATATTATCTTACCTGTGACACTAACATATAAACGAACCGTACCATGCATATAGTAAAACCCATTTCTGGTTAGTTTGTGTACGTATACATATATGTATGTAATGTCACGAGTAAAATTTGTGCCATGAAATGAACTTTATTATTTCTATAATTAAAGATATGTTTAAGTCGGATAGTTTTACCTATGATATATTAAAATTTAAATACTAGGAATTATTAATTCTATATAACTTAAGGTTTTATATATACATTAAATGGTTAGTAATAATATACTGATCCGTTGGGAATTAGCGGAAATTCCGTTTATTCACATACGGATCAACAGTTAGATTAGTTGTTTTTTTTAAAATGCGAGAACTATATAGACAATATCATGTGGTTTAAAACTTTTAATACATATACTATTTATATTTAATTATATTTATTTATTATATAAAAATTAAGTAATTTGGTTTTCTTAAATAATTTCATATACTTTAATTAATAATTCAAAAGCACGTGACATAAACTGTAAGAATTGATTTTTTGGTTTCACTTTCTTTAAATATTTAAAGCAAATAACATCTATACTGATACACATTATAATCAGTATGTCCAGCTATTCAATAGCATTTAAAATGAGTGATGGATGGTAAAAAATTTTCCGGATGACATCCGATGACATCCGGATGATTTTACAAAGATTTGTTTACTGTAATGAGAATGAAATTATTGGCCAACGCATTTCTAATTGGCTATTATCCGGATAGCTATTTTTGAGTGCGGATGACCATCCGGACATTCGGATCCCAACATTGCTACAAATAACTAGTTGTAATTGTTTTGCGAAATTTGTTACGTATTCATGCAATAAATTTTAAGATATTCCTTTTGTTTGTGAACAATTGATAACTTTTAAATTTATATATATATCTACCAGACTTCAATCAGAACTAAAATGAGGTATATTATATTAAAATTTCATACGTATCAATTTTTGAGACGATTAAAATACTAATATATGTCAAGAAAGATACTTTGACAATAGGCAGTTCACTATATGTCGTGATTGCTAATCTGTTATTTTTGCTGGCTATTTTTACTAGCTATTCCGATTATTAATAATTATAATCAATTTGAGTAATTGTCGAAACAGAGAATAGATGAAATGCATAAAAAATATTGTAGTACATGCACATCCGGAATTGCATTCTTGACAATATCAAATATCAATGATTTAATTATAAATTTAACAATAATGTTCGGAGGTCATTTTAGCTTTACCAGTTAATTGTGTTACGTTAACCAGAATACTATATCGAACCTGGAATGTTCGAAAAATTATAATACATATGTATGTTATGATGTATGTAACTTCAAATTTACATAGTCTAATTATCTTATGTATACTTACATAGTTTGATTATTTTATGTATCGGAAATGTCACTAAAAAAAAATAACTGAATGCATAAATGTTATTAATATATGTACAGTATATTGATTTTAGTTAGAACCTTTCGTTAACCACATATTTAACTTTACTCAACTGCATATCTATTAAATTTAGTAATATCCGTTTATGGAAGTAATCGAATTTATGACAGCAGACATTTAGTACGTACGTACGTATTTAATCGTTTTCCTTGCATTGCAGTACCTAAAAATGTTTATGCATCGATTAATATATCAACATAAAAACTTCAGAAAACAACTGCAAGGGAAGCATTAACAAAGGTTACATGTTATTTGATATATATATATTATTATTTTTTTTAATTTCAGGGACTAAAATACTTATGCATTGCACATATATCATTTTTAAACGTTTATGGAAAAGCGTTCAACCGTAAAAAGAAAAAAAAACCTTATATCTGTATATTAAAACATAACACACTATATTCGGGATATCTTGTTTAATGAAATGTTTGTATGATCAGTTATTTATAAACTCTTAAAATGTGTGTAATTTATTTTCATTAAACTCAATCGGAAATGCATTAAACCAGTTAATTTTATAATATATAATATTATTAAATAATATTAACAAACTTTAAAATGAATTTTTATTATAAAAATATCGAATTTCTCTTAAATTACTATGTAACACCTAGACCTGGTCTGGTCCAATCTGGTTTATCTTAATTCAGTCTGGTCCAGTCTTTAATCTTTTTATATATTTTAAACATGTACAAATTGGTTCAGGTTGGTCTAAAACTAACTGTGGTTCAACGGTTTAGACTTGATTGCCTAACATCTCTAGTATCGTAAATGGCTGGATACAAGAACTGGGTCTGTTACATTCATTTCACAAATTTTAAAACATTTAAATATTATATATATAGTATATATAATTTTGAATATATACTTTGCGTTTATAACAGGCAATCTAGATTTTTAAAAAAGACCACATTTAATTAAAGAAGATCCTGTGATTTGCACCGAGCTATAGGTCTACTATCGAAGTCCAACCATTTATGGTAACACCTATAGAAAACATTCTTTTTAGTATGGATAAATATCGTTAAAAAGGTTCTAATTTTAATTTGATAATTTTCTTTTTTTAATTCAATGTTTTCATTTATCCAATTATGGTTTTTGCTATATAATTTATATATGGGTTAGGTACTGGAAAAAGAAATCAAATTGACAATTTTTTTAAAAATAATTTTGTTTTTTTTTAAGCTTAACTAATTTAAAATTAACCCAGAAAACTTTACAGTATAATCTTTTGAAATTTGTATTTTCCTGTGAGTTAATACGTATAGATTTTTATAATATAAAAATCAATTTTCTTTAAGTAAAACCTATTTGTTATCAATCTAGTCATATAATAAGGTTAGGGTTAAGGTTAGAATTAAAGGTTTATTTTATATGTAAAATTGGGCGTTGAACATTTTTTTTACTTAAGATACCTACATATGGTTTTCTTAATAAAATTTTGAGATATTAAACGATTTTTTAATTTTTTCTTATATATTGGGTATATACCAACTGGGTACAAATAGAAATTCCCATATATAATTTATTTACATTTATTCGATCTACGTACTACATTTTACATATATTAGTGTGAACAATTTGAATCGGCTAACTCGGCTAACTGAACCGAACTAGAAAAAAAAAATTAGGTAAATCGGTTGAGTAAAGTGTTTAATCGGTTATCGGTTATAATCGGTTGATAGTTAGTTAACCAGATAAATAATTGTACTAAAAAAAAAAACTCGTCGATTTATTCAATTGCCTAGATATGTATGTACGTACGTAGGTATGTACTAATTTTTATTGAAGACTAACTGCTGTGAAAGCATTTTCCAAAGATGTTTTTTACGAAAGTACTATTCTGATCATGACTTTAATAAATTCGATTGGCTTAACAAATTATCACATGTTTATTGTACTAATTTGATTGGTTAACGATTTGATATGGATAATCTACAATTAAAATTTTAAATCGATTAGTTGTCAAAGTGTTTTGGGTTGTTGGGAGGGCATGCTTGTTGGGAGAGCATAGTTGTAAGGTTGAAACTTAAAGGACCGAGGGTGAAGGTCGCAATTTAGTTTGACTCAACACGGAACAACTCACTAGATCTAATTATCATAGGAATTGATTTTATAGACAATGGCACATGCTCATTAGCTTTTCACAATAATAAACCACCTGGTTGTTAATTTCTCGACGGAAGGATACCCATGAAGATATTCATCAGTCAATTCCAGGGTTTCATTAAGATATCCAATCAGTAATAGCAATCAAATGGCAAGAGGCATAATCGATATGAACTGATGGGCTCATACCCGTTAAAGATCCCTTGTTAATGAACAATAATTCATCAGGATGCATCACGGTGAAGTATGTAATTATCTACATCATTTAAATTAGCATTTTGAACCCATGAAAGAATTGTTAAAAACATTGAGAGATTTATATTTCTTGTATTTAAAATTTAACTCTTTAAACTCAATCTTTAGATTAAATAAGACAATGAATCTCTTGGCTTTTACATCGATTAAGAACGCAGTGAAATACGATAAGTAATGTGAATTGCAGAATTCTATGAATCATCAAATTTTTGAATACTCCTTAGTAAAACCTAATCTTTAGATTAAATAAGACAATGAATCTCTTGGCTTTTACATCGATTAAGAACGCAATGAAATACGACAAGTAATGTGAATTGCAGAACTCTATGAATCATCAAATTTTTGAATACTCCTTAGTACTTTGAGAAGTACACCTTGAAAGTCTGTTAAAAGAAAAAAAAAAGAATATCTAGATATATCGTACATCTCTGATTGAGGTGTTTAATCACTAACTTAGTGCAAGACATGTAGTAAAAATCATTAGTGAAGATTTTTTTGATATTGATTTTAAAATTCTCAATTTATAATAAATTATTAATAAAAAATGTCTACGCGCAAACTTTAATAACTTCTGCTATATTATTTTTTAATTTCGTAAGTTTATTTTTATTCTTTAAAGGGTATACTCGACAATCACGTGACTAAAAATCGAAAAACTGACCAGTAACTTTGTAGAACAAAGTTACCGGTCAGTTTTTTGAAATATCACTACTATAAAAAGTTGAAGCGTATTGAAGTTACTATGTTTATCGTATGCGACACATCTGATTGGCTAGTGTAGATCATTTGAAAACATATATGATATAATGTTAGTGTTGAAAATATGAGAACAAACCCACAAGAAAAGAATTAGTAATCCAAGAAGGCTTTAATGGAAGTTTTAAATATAGTGCCATGAAAATACTGTACAATAAATTAACTCATAGCACTACATAAATTATCGTTATGCAGATAGTTTAATTCAAAATTTCGTGTGCTATATTGAGTTTTTAATTAAAGCGACTTTTGAGTAAAATATTGAAGACAAAAAAGTAGTCGTAAAATACAAATTTACTAATAGCAAAGTTTAAATAGAAGTTTTCAACAAAAATTCCAATTGCCAATAATCATCCATTATTTGTCCTTTATTAAATTTTTTAAATTTTAGATCGCCAAACAATATAACCCGGCCAAATCCCTCCAATTTTTTAAACATTATCTAATTTATCAGATAGAATCCATTCAATCATTTCTGAATACCAAGTAGTTGTAAATTGAGACTCTTTCATGCAAAAATCAATATCCATATTTCCGCTCCAACTTGATTCGATGTTTTACATTATCCCCCCCCCTCTTAATAAAAACAATTTTTGTATATAGATATATATGAGACTCTTTAGAAAAATTTTCGAGAAAACAAAATTCAAATTTTTACTATATGATCCTTCTCCTCCCTCTCCAGCCAGAAGGATAGGGATTAGAGGCCTGCATTGGGTCCCGCAGCCCGGCCCGGCCGAAAAATTTGCAAAACATTATCCCTTACACCGTCTTGCAGGCAAATTTGCCTGCGAATTTTTGTACTACATTGAGAGTTTAAATTCCGACAAGATTTGTTTATGATAAATTAATTAATATCGATATGCATAAATAATTTATTGGCAATCAATTAATTGTTAAATATTAGCGATAAATTAACTAATAGATATTTCTTAGTGATAAATTAAATAATCCTTAATGATAAATTTATTAGTTATTTGTACTGTGCTTTATATCGATAAAATAAAATAATTTTTTAATCAACATGGAACTTGTTAACTAGAGCAAAATTTTTTGTTTAATAAATAAAAATAAAATAAAAATGTGCATTTTTTTTTAAATTAAATTACTTCAAATAAAATCTTTTAATTGCAATGAATTATTTTACAAATTTGAACGAGCAGGAAATTAATAGTAGTGAATCTGATGATTCATCAGAATTTAGTAAAAGTGAATTTGAAATAAGTTTTTCGCACAACCACCATGATGAACATTTGTTGAATGAATTACTAATAGAATTTGAACATATGACTTTGACTGAAGATAATTTATTGTATGCAGAATCAGAAGTCTCAGGTTCACAAGAAGTTTTATCTACTAGCATTCAAAGATGAGGTCAAAGACGAGATCAAGAAAGGAGTATATCTAGAATAAGTAGAAGTAGCCATGGTAGTAGTTCTTCTATAGTAGATACCAGTTGACTTTCAGAACCAATAAATTTTATTCCTTTACAATTTGAATATCTATTTAATGAAAAAGAGTATCTAGTACTTTCTAGCCAGTTTCATTTAACTGAAACAGTAACATCTTTAATGCTATTTTATGAGTTTTTTTTAGTTGATTCTCTCAATAAAATCATTGAATTAACCAATAAGTATGCTATTCAAAATTCAGCAGGTGCAGGACGGTCATGGTATAATCTTAATATTAATGAACTTAAAGTATGGCTTGCTATTGTTATATATATAAGAACTTATAGAATTTCATCATATGAATTTCTTTGAAATAAAGATATTCAAAAACCAAAACATCATATTTCAAATATGATGCCACAAAAACGGTTTGAGCAAATAAAACGTTATTTGCATATAGCCGATCCTAGTGAGCTGCAACAACTATAGTATTCTAAAATCGAACCTCTTACATTATCTGTTCGAGATGCATGTAAGAGACTATATATACCAAGTTCTAATTTATTTATAGATGAGATGATAATTCAGTTTTCTAGAAAGAGTGCATATACTGTTCATATGAAGCTTAAACCAACTTCTGAAGACTATAAAGTCTTAGCCTTGTGTGACTCAGGCTATACATAGATATTTTCATTTTCCTTATGTATTGAAAAAGCATCCTACTTGCCTAATATTAAAGATATCAATGAGATAGGTCGACATATTTGCTATCTAGCTTTTCAACTTCTACTCACAACTCATTCTTTTACAATATATATGGACAATTATTTCATATCAATTTCATTGTTTCAATACCTTCGTAGTAAAGATATTGGAGCATATAGAACAACCTGTACAAATTCTGCCAAATTCCCAAAAGAATTAAAAATACAAAATATAGCATCTCTTGATTGGGATACGCTCTTAGGTGTAATTGTGAATGATGTACTTGCTGTTCTTTGGGTTAATAATAGGCCAGTAACAATGTTAAGCACAGTTCACAAAATTACTGATAATGAATTTCGAATACAGCATGTTCATCGGCATCTATGTGAAACAAGCACAAATGCTAAAAAGGTTCAAGCAGTTTTTGGTAATTCTTCATGAAAACAATTACCAATTTCTAAGATTGTTAATAATTACAATCATTATATGGGAAGCATTGATATTGCAAACCAGAGACATTCATATTATCTATCACAGCTTACAACTCATCGAAACTGGCCTCTCTTATTTTTTTAGTTACTTGATACCTCAATTGTCAATGCTCATTTAATTTATATGATTAGATTCTATATTACTTAATAGCAAAGAATTTTGTAACTATCTTATTTGGCAACTAATACAAGATGCTAAAAGTGTGTCCAATATAAAAAGAACATGCCAATTTAATAGCAAACTTCCTATTCCAAAAGTACATTTAGTTCATATTACTAAAAACTCTAAACTTCCTATATGCTACCAAATTTCTAGAAATCATATTTTAGAATGAAGAGATAAGCAGAAGGCATGCATTTGGTGCTGTTATCTTGAAAAACAAGAAAGAAATAAAAATCTTCCACAAACAAACTTATGATGTCATGAGTGTAATGTTTCATTATGTTGTAACAAAACAAGACCTTATTGCAACCTTGAATTTTATACTCATAATGATAAGTAATATATAATATGAAGCAAAATATTCATATACTGCATATTTAATACTTAATACAGTAATAATAATAAATTAATTATTCCTATTATTTTTTTTGTAAATTGTTAATAAAAATTATTAATAAATTATTATTTTCATAGCTATTTAATGTATAACAGTAATAATTAAATTATTATTAAAATATTAATTTTCCTATTTAAAGAAGTATTTTCTAATATAAAATACAGTAATTATTTATTACATTTTTTAATTGTCTAAGCCATGTCAGACTTTATTTTTACTGCAGATTAGTCTGATGGTGTAAGGGATAATTGCAGGCCAGTGCGGGCCTAAAATTTTGTAAAATTATACAGTACAGAAATCCTTAAATCAGCATGTTATATTATATGTGGCCAAATTTTGTCTCAAATATAAATCAGTCCAAAGTTTGGTCAGAGCCAATCAAATTGCAGAAAAGTAAAAAATAAAAAAAAATAAAAAGAGAAACAAAGACCTGCAAACAAAATAAAACCATGGTATTGTATAAATAAATATTTTTATTTATAATCATTTTGTAATTTAAATCACAATTGACTATATGTGATATTATTAATATATGATTTTATTGTGGCAGCAAAATTGGGTTAATAACATTGAAGTTAACATGATAAAGTGAATCTGTAAATCCAAATTTTTTAGTTAAAAGCATTATAATGCTAAAGATTTAAATCTTTATTAAAGGCACAATTATTATTTTTATTTTTCTTATTTATTTTTGTAAATCAATTCTATACAATATGAGTACTGCTAAGGGAATCAATAAGTGATTAAAAACAGAGGTGTTTTTTTTCTTTAGCAGCACTTATAATATTTAAAAAAATAACCTTATAATCATATAAAAAACTGGAAATTTCATACTTTGCTTCAAGAAATCTTAATCACATTGTAATAAAAATATAAAAACTCATATTTGATCTTATTTAGAGGTTTGAGTTAAACAAAAAATGATTTGATTCTATTATTCTTTAATAAACTGATTGTTAGTATTATAAAAACTGCTAATAATTCAAATTATTAAGTACCCCTTGTATTATAACAATTTAAGGTTAATACAACTTGATTTTAATAAATAATACTAACATTGTAAATACCAATTTTACCTATCTTTTTTTTTTTTTTTTTAACAAATACACTTATTAAAACTTAAAACTATTTGACAATAAATGTGGTAGATTAAAATAAAATCAAATTAAAATGAAATTTTGTATAAGTAAATTTTAGAAAACATCAAATTTTGTTTTAATTTAATTTTATTATAATCTGTAACAATAAATAAATATCTTATTTTTATCCTATTTAACACCAATTCCAATTATATTTAATTAACATAGACATAAGATAAATGTAATAATTTAATTTATTAAAGGACAAAAAATAAAATATAACAAAACTTATTATAAAAATTTTGTCTACTTATTAATTGTTTATTATACCAACTTCATTTAAAACTATATTTGAAATATAGCAATATTATTAACAATAAAGTACTCTTCCTAATGATTACTCAGACACAAAATCAATAAAAAAAGAAATTAACTTTCTACACAAACAGCAATAGAAAACACCTTAAACAACACTAATAGAAAAGTAATAGCAACAAAGAAAGCATCAAGCAAGCTTAAAAGCAAAAGCACTACAAGTGTTAGCAAGATAGTTATAGGAAAAAACCAAGTTTTTTATAGAAATTTTAGCAAAAAGTGATAATTTTGAGAGATCACTAATGATCCTATATATAGATCTGTTTGGATTACACAAACAATATGTACAGCTTAGGCAAACAAACATGTGTGAGATATTAAATAAAATAGAATAAATGAGTCATCTGTAAAACAAACAAACAAGATACAATTAGAACATATGATAGAATATCCAAAAAAATAAAGTCATAAAAATAAATCAAAAATCTTTATAGAGAGTACAGGGAAAGTTTACAAGCACTTTTTATAAAAAGAGCATACTAGGCTATAAATAATATGCACAACAAAATTTTTTTCAATGAGACAAGTAGAACATATATAGTACCAGATAGAGAAGACAAAATTGTTGCAATGCTTACAAACCAAGACCCAAATAAGTTGGCTTTTTTATAACTAACAAGAGAAATATTAGTAAAAGTAAAGAAAGAACAACCAAAGAAAAAACTAAATATAAATATAGAAAACTGAAATCTAACAATAGAAGCAGAAAGAAGACAAATACAGTATAACCAAAATGAAGAACAGCAAATAATAACAAAAGGAAATAAAGAAAAGAGCATAAAAGAAAAACAAGAAGGAAAAAGAAGCATAGAAGAAAAAATTAAAAATTAGAAAAACAAGAAAAAACAAATGTATTACAAAGAAAAAAATAAGTAGAAATAAGTATAGAAATAAATAACAAACTGCCAGTTGAACCTTTTATCTAGAAACAAGAATTTAGAAAACAAAGAAAGATAAATGAATAAGAAAACATAAAAATAAATAACAAACAATCAAGACAAAACATATTAGAAGAAGAAAGACAAAGACAAAAAAGATAAAAACAAGAAACAGAGAAAGAAATCAACATTGTAGAAATAGTATTAGAATAAAGTATATAGGCATCAAGCAGAAGAAGTTGTGATCAAAACAATAGCTTAATTGCCAATATACCAGTATACAAGGTTTCTGATAAAACAAAAAAAGAGCATATAAAGTTTATTAGGTAGTCTTTAAAGAATAATATATATATGAAAGATATCAACAAAGTATTCAAGAGAGGAAATCTATAAATAGAAGTGGTCTTTGACTGTAATTATGGCAGAGATGAAGCTATACAAAGAATTAATAGAAAAGAGAGTGATTGGTATAAGATGATACCAGAAGATGAAGAAAAGAAAGAAGAAAAAAAAAGAAGACTCAAAAACTATGATAAAGAATAACAAGATAAAAGAAAACATATACCAAGTTTTAGAAAAGAAAAGATTAAAGAAGATGCTAACAAAAAAGAACCAAAAAATAATAAATATAAGAAAGAAGAAAGACCTATCAACAACATAACATATTTAACAATATGGGACCTACCAGCTAATATAAACAAAAGAGAAATAGAGTATATTTGTAGAAGAATCAAAGATGTACAAATAATATGCATTAAAAGATTTAAGTACAAAGCTCTAGCAGTAATACAAATGCAAAGCTTAGAAGAAGAAGATATTTCATAATTATTGCTAGCAGACAATAATAAATTAGTAAAAGTAACAAAAAAAAGAACCAAACTCAATATGAGTAGAATTAGCAGCACTTATTCCTCTATTTCTCATCTTACCTGCCAATTATCAAATTCATATCCGCTTAGACAGTTTATTACTATTCAAATACTCTTTAATACACTACTTTACTACTACAAATCACAAACTAAACAAAATAATTAGAATATTGTACATATACTCAATTATTTAATAAAACTCAAAAACATTAATTACATAATATATAAAGTTAAATCACATTCAAAAAATACTTTATATAATATAACTGATTCTCTTGTCAAACAAGATGCCAACAAGACTAAATTAAAATTTAATCTTGATCACTTTTATCTACCTACTTATTTTTCTTGAAAAAAAATTCCAATCACATATAAACTACATAAATTCTGTAAAAACCTAATTTCAATACAAACATTTAACAAACTTCTTTAACTCAAATCACTACAAAACTTTCCAACTATAAACATTCTATTATTAACTGAAATTATTAATTCCCAAAACTCCAATTCCAAACTATATTCTATTAGAAACAAAATACTTCTTAATAATTTATTTACAATATCAAATCTTCATACCTGCTATTCTCTTTCTATTTAACTCCAAATTGCTCATATTGCAATCAATATAAAAGCACTGAATACTTATTCCAATGCTTACTTCATTCCTACAATCTACAAAACATTCTCACTAATAAAATCTCAAATGCTTTAAACTCTCTAAACATTACAGAAATCTCATCTAATACAATAATATAAATTCTTATTACACAAAATACTTCTCTCAACCTAAATATATATAATACAATACTATTACTCATTTAGGGTACAATAATCCTTAATCAATACAACCAACTCCAACTCACTCTAAAAAAACTAACTAACAATTTTCTTATTTCTTTATCTAACTCATTACTTACTTGGTTTAATTCTACTATCTGGCAAACTCGTAACACTAAACAACATAAATGGGAATTATTATAAGGAATTATATCTTCTACTAAAAAAAAAACAATATTAGATTACCTACTTCTCAATTCACAAATTCTAACAATATTACTTTCATTTTCAACACTGATATAGATCCTTTTATTTTTAAAACTCTTACTCAAAACTTTACTATACATACCTGTTTTTACTAATTAAATAATTCTAAAGATTTCTTTTACCCTCTCTGT